TAGGCCCGAAACGTCAGCCTTCCTGCTCCTATGATGCTGCTTGGCCTACTGTGTTCATCCAGCTCTACACCTTGTTATCTCAGATTCTCCAGCATCTGCAGTTCCTAATATCTCTAAACTAGTCACACCTGCTTGCTCCTGGCCCATATCTCTCAAGTCCTTTCCTATTCATGTATTATCCAAGGGTTATTATTTTATAAACTTCTATAAGGTCACCTCTCAACCTCCTACGCTCCGGTGAAAAAAGTCTCAGTATACCCAGCCTTTCTTTTTAAGTCAAACCTGCCATACCCAGCAACATCCTGGTAAATCTCTTCTGACCCCTCTCCAACTAATCATATTCTTCCTATAACTGGGTGACCAGAACTGGACACAGTATTCCAGAAGAGACCTCACCAATGTCTTGTATAACTTCAACATGACTTCCCAACTCTTACGCTCAAAGGACTGAGCAATGAAGGCAGACATGCTAAATGCCCTGATCTTATTAAATGGCTGAACAAATTTAAGGGTTGTATGGCCTTTGTTTGCTGCTATTTCTAAAATGGTCATTTCCTTAAAATTTAAGGACAGGTTTTCATAGGCAAGCCTGGAGCTCCTTTGAGTATGTAGAAGATCAGAGGTGATCTAATTGAGTTGTTTCAGGTGATGAAAGGATTTATGAGGGTAGATGGGGGAAATAATTTCATCTGGTAGGGAAACTTCAGAACAGAGAGGTGTAATGTCTTAGAATAGGCCAGGCGCGATCTCAGGAAGTTCTTCTTCACACAAAGGAGGGTAGAAATCTGGAACTCTCATCAGCAACTGCTAACATCAAGATTCAATTGAGATAAAGTGAATCAGATGTCAGCAGAGGTGAGGGCCTAGTGGTATTATCACTGGACTGTTAATCCAGAGACTAACGTAATATTCCGGGGACCCAGGTGTGAATTCCGCCACAGCAGATGGCGGAATTTGAATTCAATAAAAATCTGGAATTAAGACTCTAACGATGACCACGAGTCCCAGGGCACTTAGCGCTGAGCAATCAATGCTAGCCTGTAATGCCCACACCCCGTGAATGAATTTCAAAAAAGCCATGACTTTGTGCAGACATGATGGGCCGAATGGCTTCTTTCTGTGCTGTAGTAATTCTGTACATGTTGACAAAGGCCTGACAGCTGGAAGGCTTACCTCTGTTTCTGTATTCCTTCATATCTACTTTTGCCACTCATAAAAAATGCAGCAGTAGGCCATTCAGCCCTTTAAGCCTGCTCTGCCATTCAATATGATCATGGCTGATCATCCAACTCAGTCCCCTTGTTTCTGCTTTCTCCTCCATGTCCTTTGATCCCTTTATCCCTAAGAACTACATCTAACTCCTTCTTGAAAACGTTCAATGTTTTGGCCTCAACCACTTTCTGTGGCACAGAACCAGCTTAAAGTATGACAAATGCATCTCTTGGTCAATGTGGACAAAGGCTACTGTTCCCAACCTTCAGAAAATAGGGGGAGGGGGGAGAAATTAAACAAATCTGCCTTGGTTCCCCAGCTGTTTCTCTTCCTTCCCCTTATTCCACAGTCTGATTACCTTTAAATTGTTAAGTGGCACAGTTTGCCATTCAAAACGCATTTTCTTTCTCTCATTGTCTTCCAGGCTTGTCTTTGGAGAAGTTTGTGAGGTGAACGTAATATTTCTGTGTAAGCGCAGAATCGATTGAGAGTCCTGAGCCAATGAAGACACTCCTGCTTCTCAGTCTCCTGCTTATGTCGATAGATGCTAAAGTCTATGAGAAGTGTGAATTTGCCCGGATTTTGAAGGATAAGGGATTAGATGGATTTCACAGACACAGATTGACGGACTGTAAGTCTCACTGCTTCACTGCTATTTAACATGGCCCAGTGCAGTCCCACTGAGTCCTCGCTTTCACCTCATTGACTTTCATGATGCTGTTAATTCTGGAGCACAGGTTCCTGTCAATGAATTAGAGAGTCAATGCACTGTGTGATGTGGGGCTGGGCTATACAGAGTGTGTGGGATGAAGCAAAGGGTGGGATGAAGCAAAGTGGGAGGAGGCTCAGATGGAGCAGAAACACCAGCAGAGAACTGTTGGGCTGAATGGCCCATTTCTGAGCTGGCTCCTGATACATAATGAACACAAAAGAAGGAATTCACTAACCACTTTTTGAGAAGTGAAGGTAATGTCCATTGTAGCTGTTGTGTGACTCCTCACATCATGCATTCACTGTTGACACCAACTGAAATATAAACAATAGCCTGCAATTACCTGAGAGCTATGGCTGGGAAGGTTAGTTGTAACATTTTACAAATGCCATATCAACTCACGTTTAACCTTTGTTCAATTTGCTCATTGTGCTAAAATCTGACATTCAGTAGCAGCGACTACAAGATTAGTAATATTAATACAGCATTAGGCAGGAACTGGAGAAATCAGACTGGACAATCTGTTTGAGGGTAAACTCACATCTGACATGTGGGAGCCTTTCAAAGGCTAGTCGATCAGAGTTCAGGACCAGCATGTTCCTGTAAGGTCTCACTGACGAGGTCTCAGACAGCTGAAGAATAGCCAATGGTGGTCTTTTGTTTATGAAGGGTAACAGGGACAATCCAGGAAATTTTCACCTTACATTAGTGGTAGGCAAATTATTGGAGAAGATTCTTAGAGTCAGGATTTACTTGTGTTTGGAAAAAGAATGGATACAATAGAAATAGTCAGCAAGGCTTTGTGCAGGGTGGTCTTGTCTCAAAGATTTGATTGAGTTTTTTGAGGAAGTGATAAGGGTAAGACAACACTGGACTCACTGCAAAATTCCAGGAATTGGACATTGATTTCTGGTTAGGTATACTCCTGGCTACTCCCACCAACAACTACCTAACTCCACCAAATCGCCTTTATTTCCCCATTTCCAGATTTGACAAAAATATGGAAAGTAGTCAAAAAAAAAACCTCTCCTATGAATCTGCTTCTCGGGGTTGCTGCTATTTTCTTCATTGCTCAAGAAATTCATTTTCAGTTTCTGGGAATGTCAGGATAAACCTTGATTGTTGGGAAATCTTTCAGTGAGTGGAATATTGACCAAATTCTTGTGACTGTGAGCAAGCCAAAAAGACAAAGGATAAAGGTGAGTCAAACTTGTGCTTGCGAAATATTACAGCCAATTGTGCTGTTTTAATTTTAGGGGTGTGTATGGTTGAAATTGAAAGTGGATACAACACAGCATTAAAAAGACATTATCGCAATCTTGGAATAATCACATCAACTAACTATGGGATTTTCCAGATTAACAACAAGGAGTGGTGTGATGATGGTACACCTGCGTTCAGCTACAATCTCTGTCAGATCAAGTGTAGCAGTAAGTCAACCAATGCTACTTCAATCTTGCTTTTAGCTTGTATCTGCTGTGGCTCCATAAGTAACACTCTCAACCTCTAGCAGCCCACTTCATTTACACCATACCTACAAGCATCCATTCCCTCCAACACTGACATTCAGTAGCAGCGACTACAAGATTAGTAATATTAATACAGCATTAGGCAGGAACTGGAGAACTCAGACTGGAGAATCTGTTTGAGGGTAAACTCACATCTGACATGTGGGAGCCTTTCAAAGGCTAGATGATCAGAGTTCAGGACCAGCATGTTCCTGTAAGGTCTCACTGACGAGGTCTCAGACAGCTGAAGAATAGCCAATGGTGGTCTTTTGTTTATGAAGGGTAACCGGGACAATCCAGGAAATTTTCACCTTACATTAGCGGTAGGCAAATTATTGGAGCAAATTCTTAGAGACAGGATTTACTTGTGTTTGGAAAAAAATGGACTCAATAGAAATAGTCAGCAAGGCTTTGTGCAGGGTGGTCTTGTCTCAAAAATTTGATTGAGTTTTTTGAGGAAGTGATAAGGGTAAGGCGGTGGACATAGTCTACATGGACTTTACTAAAGTATTTTAAAAAGTTCCTCATGGTAAGCTTGTCCAATGGATTAAGTCATTTGGGATCCACTGCGAGTTGGTAAGTTGGATACAAAATTCGCTTGGTCATAGGAGACAGAGGGTGATTGTGGAGGTGTCTTGTTCTGACTGGAGGTCTGTGACCAGTGGTGTTCTACAGGGATCAGTGCTGGGACCCCTGTTGTTTGTAAAATATATAAATGATTTAGACGAAAATGTAGGTGGTCTGATTACTAACGTTTGCAGATAACGCAAAATTTGGTGGAGCCGTGGATATTGAGCTCTGAATAGTGAGGAAAGTTATCAAAGGATACAGTAGGATATTGACCAGTTGGAAAGTTGGGTGGAGAAATGGCAGATGGAGTTTAACCTGGACAATTGTGAAGTGATGCATTTTGGGAGGTCAAATGCAAGAGGAAAGTATACAGTAAATGACAGGACACTTAGTAGCATTGATATACAGAGGGATCATGGGGTGCAAGTCCATAGCTCCCTGAAAGTAGTAACACAAGTGGAGAAGATGGTTAAGAAGGCACATGGTATACTTGCCTTCATTGATCGTGCCATTGAGCATAAAATTTGGCATGTTATGTTGCAGCTATAAAAGATTTTAGTGAGGCCACATTTGGAGTATGGTATGCAGTTCTTGTCACAACACTATAGGAAGGATGTGGATGTTTTAGAGAGGATGCAAAAATGATTTACCAGGATGTTGTCTGGATTGGAAGTTTATTAGCTATAAAGAGAGGTTGGACAAACTTGGGTTGTTTTCACTAGAGCATCAGAGGCTGAGGGGCGACCTGATAGAAATATATAAAATTATGAGAGGTATGGATTGGGTAAATGGTAGGAGTCTTTTTTCCCAGGTTGGAAATGTCACATACTAGGATGAATAAGTTTAAAGTGAGAGGGGGAAAATTTAAAGAAGATGTGGAAGGCAAGTTTATTTTTGTATGCAGAGCATGGTAAGTGCCTGGAACACACTGCTAAGGGAGGTGGCAGAAGCAGAGATGTTTAAGAGGCATTTAGACAGACATAGGCAGGGAATTGAGAGATACAAACCATGTTCAGGCATTTGAGATTAGTTTAGAATGGCATCGTATTCAGCACAGACATCGTGGGCCAAAGGGCTTGATCTGGTGCTGTACTATTCTATGTTCTATGTCCTATGTTCTAAGATGCACTGCAGAAATTCACCAAAGTTCATAAGGCAGCACCTACCAAACCCATAACCATGATCATCTAGAAGGACAAGGGCAGCAGATACATCCAGGCTCCCCTCCAATCCACTCGCTAACCTGAGTTGGAAATATATCGCCTTTCCTTTGCTGTCACTGGGTCATAATCCAGGAATTTACATTGTCGATGTACATACAGCACATGGACTGCAGTAGGTCAAGAAAGCAACTCACCACCACTTTCTCAAGGTCAAATAAGAATGGACAATAAATGTTGGTCCAGCCAGTATTGCCTATGTCCCACGAGTGAATAAAAAAAAGGTTCCTGTAATGCAAACTTGACACACTTCAAAAATTACTTGCTTGGCTGTGAAGCACTTTGACAGGCGCTGAAAATGTGAAAGGTGCTATATGAATGTTTCAATGTTTCAGTTCCTCAGCCTGCAGTGTACGAGTAGGTAGAGGAAGTGAGCATGATGCATGTAAAGGTCATGAGTTCCTGACGTGCGTCTTCATGTGACTGAACAGTCTAATTCTCAACCCACAAATCTTTAGGCAGATGGGGTAGGATACCCCTCAAAGTATTGCTATCTATAAAGCAGAATTTCATTCCCTTCCACCTTTACTGGCCCCATCCCCGCCTCTTCGACCTGTTTGTTTCCTCTCCACCTATCCTCTCCTCTATCCATCTTCTATCTGCCTCCCCCTCTCTCCCTATTTATTTCAGAACCCCCTTCCCCTCCCCCTTTTCTGATGAAGGGTCTAGGCCTGAAACGTCAGCCTCTCTGCTCCTGTGATGCTGCTTGGCCTGCTGTGTTCATCCAGCCCTGCACCTTGTTGTCTCTTTCATTCCCTTCCTGCTGCTTCTCTGTCTCATCAGAACTAAAAATGTTTTGCAGCTCAATGGACACATCACTGTTCTGACTGGTTGATATCAAGCTCCTTGAAGTCATAGAATCATAGAGATCTATAACACAGAACAAGGCCTTTCAGCCCATCACATCTGTGCCAGTCAAAAGCAGCAAACTAACTACTATAATTCCATTTTCCACCATAACCTTCTATGTCTTGGCAAAGCAAATGCACATCTAAATACTCCTTTGATGTTACTGGCAGTGAGTTCCAGATACTCACCCTCTGGATGAAAACATTTGTTTCTCACATCTCCTCTAAATCTTCTGATCCTTACCTTAAATCTATGCCACCTGGGTATTGATCGCTCCATCAAGGGGATGAGTTTATTCCTGTCTATCCTGTCAATGGCCCTTACAATGTTATACATCACAATCTTGTCCCCGTTCATTTCTTCTGCTTCAAGGAAAACAACCCAAAATTATCCAATCTCTCTTCATAACTCTCCAGCCCAGGCAACATCTTGATAAAGCTCCTCTGTACCTCTCCAGGGCTATCACATCCCGCCTATAATGTGGATTCCAGAACTTCACACAGTACTCCAGATGTGGCCTAACCAACATTTGATACAGTTGCAGCATAACACCCTGTTGTTAAACTCTATGCCTCGACTAATAAAGGCAAGTATCCCCTATGCTTTCTTAACCACATTATCTACCTGTCCTAATACCTTAAGGGACCGGTGGTCATACAGACCAAGGTACCTCTGATCCTCTGCTTCCCAGGGTCACTGATGACAGAGTTGCTGTACTTCAAAGTGAGCGTCAGAGTGTCTTTGAAGATTTTTCTTTGTCTTCCCCTAGAACATGGACCATTTAGGACTTGAAAAAACAGGATATCCCCTGGTGACAAGATATTGGTCAAGTAGACACAGTTGCTTGATTGATTTAATGTTCAGTGCATAACCATCCCTCACTCACCATTACTTCCTGGGGAAATTGTTTTTGGCAAGAGATGTCGCTGTAGTTTGTGAGGTATCATGAATGTGGGGGGAGGGGGCAGTTAGTCTAGGTGGCTGGCTTGAGAGTCAGTGGTGGTATCAACAACATTGGTTCAATCCCCAAGACAGCTGAGCTCACCATGACGGTCCTACCTTCTCAACCTCATCCTTCACGTGAATTGTAGTGACCACCAGGCCACCGCTCCTCTCTTTCTGTTGACAGAGAGCGACAATGGTAAGTTGTATTTTTAATGAACTCTGCTTAAAAAGAGTCTATCAATTGATTTGTTCTCTGTGATTGTGTTCCCTACCCTAAATACCCCCTAAACTCAGCTCGACCTGTCTCAAATATGTCGGGTGGCACAATGGTATTGTTGTTGTAATATAGCAAAGAAAAACTAAATGTATTTATTGCTTATTGTAGGTTTACTGGATGATGATATCACCAATGACATACAATGTGTAAAGTCTGTGGTTGTTACTCAGCTTGAAATGGACATCTGGTATTTATTATTTAATTTCTCGCTGTCTCTTTGTACAGTCATGTTGACCATTTAATATGACAGAAACCAGATTTAAAGGTGAAGAGCTCAGATTCACAGTGCGAAACACCATCATGGCATGAAGAAAATAAAAGAAAGTTGATTGAATCAGAGAAATGGTGAAATTAAAAGTCAGGGTCTCATGTTTAGAATGTGGAAACTAGACAAGGTGATGGGGATCCAAAATTTTAAGGAATAAGATGGGATATTTTTGTGGTAGTCTGTTGGGTGTGTGAGCATGTCTGAGCTGTAAAGGATGTCATTGTCTACCATGAGTTTCTCAGGATTGAAGGGATTAATGGACATCCACAAAACTGGCAGTATATGTTGCCATTGTTGGTACTTGACCAAATCTCTGCAGCTGTTGCTACCTCTGGATTTCCTCATGGTCATACCAGAGGTTACAGATTTGAACAGCCATTCCTCAGAACATGCGCAAGCATGTTTTGGTGCGTGCCTCCATTTGGGCTGTTGGTTGAAATTTTTTTTCCCAAAAGAGGATATCCACAGTGCAGCCGTTCCTGAGGCGGGGTACCCTTATATCATTTGTACTGAGAGACTCGATGTGATTAGCTCCATTTTCTGCTGTTTATAGTTTCGGCACATTCACAAATATTATTTGTGATTTTACCCTGACATCAGATTCTCCTTTTGGGCAGCACAGTGGCTCAGCCGCTAGCACCGCTGCCTCACAGCGCTAGGGACCCGGGTTCGATTCCACCCTCGGGTGACTGTCTGTGTGGAGTTTGCACATTCTCCCCGTGTCTGTGTGGGTTTCCTTCGGGTGCTCCGGTTTCCTCTCGCAGTCCAAAGATGTGCAGATTAGGTGGATTTGCCATGCTAAATTACCTCATAGTGTTCAGGGATGTGCATGCTAGGTGGATTAGTTGTGGTAAATGTAGGATTACAGGGATG